TTATTTTGGGGCTTTTTTATCAGGCTTTCTTCTTTGAATTGCTATCTTTCTTTTGCGTAAAAAAAGATTCCAGTGCAAAAAAGAAAGCATGAAAAAAGCCTAAAAACACGCCAAAACCCAAACTTCTGCTTGGAGAGTAGCCATATATGGCAGCCATTGAAAAAATGCAACGAAATCAGCTCAGAACCATCACAAAGCCTCTTAATATTTCACTGAGGTGTAAAATCCTCAATTTAGTCATGATTTTGTAAAGATAACATGGAGAAGCAAGCGGAAAGAACACCATGTCAATGCTGAACAACTTTTTTTTTATTTTTCAATGCGTTTTCAACATTCATACAGTGCATCTATCAAACAGTAAAGCATCATAGAAACGCAACTTGTCATTTTACGTCCATTACATCTCTTTACTTAGATTCTCTGTTAAATGCTCAATGGTAAAAAACGTCAAAACAGAGCAATGTAAACTGGAACTAAAACAAGAAGGCCAGTTTGTATAACAAAAACTGTCACGCCCATTGCTATATGTCAAAAAACAAGAACAATATTAAACATACTCTGCTCTGACATTACTTCTATTTTCTAAGATCTTCAAGCCATCTTTATTTTAAAAAACTGGGCTTTTCCTCAAACTCTTCTCAAATACTTATAACAAAGTCAACCTAAAAATGTCTTCCAGTTTTCTAAAACTACTTCTTGTCTCGTTTCCGCTGAATTGAATCAATCTACGCAAAATTATGTCGCTTTCATGATATCTCGTGTCAGTTTCAAAAAGAATTCCCATTCACACCTCAGACATTCATGCAAGGTTGTCCGAAGACACATTAAGTCGTTAGTCGCATCCAAAGCCGATTCGATTCCAAAGTATGTCAGCATATCACAAGTCAAAAACATAAAAATATCTAAAAACTTCGAAATTAAAGCCATGCCAGCAACAATTCAAATATATACAACAACAATATCATCGTTTGATATCTTACTTAAACATTGCGAACAATTGAAATTATTGCAGTAAATTAGACTGGTGAAGCGGTAAATCCAGTTTAAAACGTCCATTTCTGTTTAAGCAGTGTTTTTAGAAAAACTTTAGCTTACAAGAATGATTCAACCCTCTTGAGTAAAAAATGAGCTGAGCTAAAATGTGACAAGCCTGAATAATTACCCACAAATCATTGTATCAAAAAATAACTCGAGTGACGACACGGCACGTGAATGCGTTGGGAGATTAAGCATGAGAACATGTAGCGTGTGCCGCCCGGAGTTATCGCGGTTAGAAGTGTTGGGCCTTAACTATGGCTCCCATTGACGACAATTTTCCAGATTTTTAAACCTAAAACCATGAGGATCGCTGGAAAGGTCTCGTTCCAAGGAGTTCAGAACCTAAGTCCGTTTTCGAATATCAGGTCTCCTACTGTAGTTATCGCGGTTAGAAACGTTGGGCCTTAACTATGGCTCCCAATGGCGAAAATTTTCCAGATGTTTAAACTTGCAACCCTGGGGCTCGCTGGGAAGTCTCGTTCCCAGGATTCCCACCGGGCAGTATTAAGGAAGCTTTGAGGAAGCAATCGGTGGGAAAGAGCTGAACACAAATGCGATCAGCTGACCTCATACTTGTCTTTCGGTGGTCCCAAGAGTGGTCAATCGGTAGTCAGCTATTTCCCTCCCGAGGCTGCCTTCATTACGCCCCAAGCCTGCCGTATTTCCTACCCACCCGAGAAGTGGCATCACCCACCCCAGCTGCTCGTTTCCAAGCTGAAGGGGATTCCCCTTGGCCGGGACTTTCCGTGGTGTGACATTTTAGTCAGTAAATTTTCCACCGTTTCCTGCAGGTTCGTCCAAACTTCCTCTCTTCTCTGCATCGGATCAACTGAGCAGGTGATTCTTCACTTTATTAGGCAAGTTTTGTATTTATTCTTTGTTCTATATGTGAATGTGCCCATACGTCTATGATATTAGTGTGAATAGTTGTAGTTTGTTAGGCTAGACCATGTGAAGGTAAAGATTGTGCATTTGCTTTGAAAATGTTATCTTTCTAGTTAAACATAATTTCTATTAACTGTGTCTACTACATCGTTTACAAGGTGGTTCAAATCCAACCTCCAAATCATTTCATTTCATTTATTTCGAAACCTTTTAGCCCTGCAGGGCTAGTCTTCCAAGGCTCAAATACATGGAATACAGGCACATCGTTACATAATTATATACATAGGAAATAGTGCATAAGATACAGTGCTACAAATGCTGTTAGTTTTAATTTAACGTTAATTTAACAGTTATCCTTGGTCAAAGTTTATGAACGATCCAATACCAAATCAACATATTGCTAGAAATTGTGCAACAATGGACAAGTTTCATGGAGGAATACAGATAAAGTCTAAATCATGGTATGTAACATTTCACACTTTTAAACATGTATGCAGGTCAACCAGTTTCTTATTGAAGGTTTGAGTTTCATTACTATTGTACAATATTTAACGTTAAGTTTGACTCATTTGTTTATATTCCGGGTTTTGTACAGTACCTAGAAAAAGCATTCATAACTCAATCTTTAATTGACCTGGGCCCAAGATGAATACTGGAAGTGAATTAGACACATCAATGTTACTACTAAATCATTTAATAAGATGACCAATGATAAGATTGTTCAAATTTGATAGAGGCAAAATTGTTACAAAACAAGTATATTATGTTATATGCAAGGCCACACCAATTTGATATGTTGGTTCTCTTTTTTTTTTTCAGAAAAATTATAAAGCGGCAGGGCAAAAAAAAACTAGGCCTATTTATATGTATATATAGGCATCCTATGATATCCCCAAATGTTATGATAGGAGCCATGAAGTCAACATACCAGGCTGGTTTGTAATTCAAATAATAAATAATATTAACAGATTTTGATTCAACTTTTTGATTTAATTTTAAGAAGGAGGTTTGAATAGAGTCTCTATTCAAACCTATTCAAACCTATTAATCAAACGACTGTATTGATGCATAGAAAAACTGTAACAACAAGGAGGACTGTTGGAATCAAAATATGAGCATTGTTGATTCAAAATTTGAATTTTTCTTTGCAAATAATAAAATAATGAAGACGGCCAATCTGAGAACCTATTGATTAAATTTGTTTTTTGTTTGTTTGTTTGTTTGTTTGTTTATTTTGCACATAAAAATGAATACAAATTACATCAATAATACATCTGAAACAATATGCGGGGTTGGCCTTAAACCTATAAGGTTTATCCTAGGCCTCCCCCAAAAGAAATGATAATTGTATTTACTAACTATTAAACTTAATTACTTAAACAAGAAATGAAATAATAATACAAAAGTAATTCTAAAACGTCGTGTGGCTCTTACGTAAGCTTATTAAATGAAATTAACCGATACATATTCAAAATTACTGAGTTATTACGAAAAGAAGGTAATGAGGTAAAAGAAAACTAATAATTATCATAAGCGAGCGAAATAAACGATGGAAACAAGGAAAACAAACATATGATGTTCAAGTGTAAGTGGGGTTTAGTAGGAAATTTTCTTTTAGTTGTTTTTTGAAGCTTGGTGTTGATTTACAGTCCTTAATGTACGTTTTAAATTATTCAAGATAACGGGCCCTCTATACATATGATGTTCAAGTGTAAGTGGGGTTTAGTAGGAAATTTTCTTTTCGTTCTTTTTTGAAGCTTGGTGTTGATTTACAGTCCTTAATGTACGTTTTAAATTATTCAAGATAACGGGCCCTCTATACATTATTAAGAATTGTTTTTGTGTGGATTTAGTTGTTACTGATCTTAACTGGCTGTGCTGTCTTGTGTTGTGTTGGTGTATGTCCGAGTTGAATTAAAAAAAAAAAAACTTTTGAATTGGACGGGTAGTTCAGAGGTATTATGTACGATTTTGTGGACAAATAGTGCAGTTTGTAATTTATTGATGTCGTATACAATTATGACTTGTAGTATATAGTAGAGTGGATTAACTCCTCAAGCTAACCGACATCTAGCATACGCAGTCGTCCCTCAGTAAGACATCTGGAGCCACATAGTTCCCGTTTAGAACTTTATTCAGCCTGTCACGACCGATTTCGCCCCGTGTGGCTTCTTCAAGTGTACAGAGGCTAAATGACACAAGTTCATGAAGTTCTCACTTATAAACCGTCTGGTGCAGAGTGCACTGGTCAGGGGCAGCATGATACCATGCCCAGTTCTAATGCCCTGACCTTACATGACCTACTACATGACGTCATCTATTGTTCTAGAACAATTAAACATGTCATAAATGTCTTGATAACACAATTCGAAAAGAGAAAGGTCCATCTTCTTCGATATGTTGTCTTCTCCCTTGGCTGTTTTCTTGCTCTGGCTTCTAGGTCTGGCTTATTGGCATCTTGTAGGGCTTGAGCAACACGTAGAATCTTTGGACTCTCCTTTTCTCGGTAGTGTGGTGGGCAGTGGTGTTGGTTGCACTCAATGATCTTCAGTGTCTTCCTTGTGCTCGACGCGGCGGCGGTGTTGAGTCCAGGGGGCGTCTTTCTTGAGGGCTCGTCTTGCTTCTACTAGTATGTGCCTTCTTTTGATGTACGGTGATCACTCTGGGTCCGGAGTTCCAGTAGATGCTTACAGCGAGAATACATCGAATGAGGAGTATGCAGTAAGAAGCCAAACGGGGCGCACACGGGGCGAAACCGGTCGTGTAACAGGCTGATTAAAGTTCTAAACGGGAAAAAGCTATGCGGCTCCAGATGTCTTACTGAGGGACGACTGCGTGTGCTAGATGTCGGTTAGCTAGAGGAATGAATCCACTCTACTATATACTGTATACAGTTATGACTTGTAATTTGCTTAACAGGGGTCACGGCTGAGTGCGCTGTGAAGTGTGTGTTTATGTGGCCTAATGTATGTTTTGCAGGGCCCAAGTGTATAGCGGTGCTATGACACTCAGATGGGCCTTCCTGGGTACATGTGAATAAAACACAAACAAACACTATCATGTTACAGGTCTCCAACATGCCAGGCTATCCACTGGAGATATTTGACATCAAGGTACAAGACAAATACCTGTGCTCGGCATGCCGCTTAGCTTTGCGGGAACCCTTGCAGACTTACTGTGGGCACAGGTACTGCAAGTCCTGCCTGGATGAGATCTTCAGGTACAGTATGTGTTTCTTCTATCTGTTACAGTATAATAATACTTAATTAAGGGTAAGTGCAGTGGAGAAGAAGTTAGGCTAAGCATACAAATGCAAGGCTGAAGATCTGTCTTGGCTTTCATTAGAAAGAAAATAATTGAGGTTTCCCCAATCTTATAAAAACAAAGGAGACAACCTTACACTTACAGTCAGCAAGATTGTGTTGAAAATTAAAACTCATTCATCCTTTACCCAAATTGACTTCTCAGTGCAAGTGACGTCTCGCACCTCAAATCATCTACCTGTGCAATTACTAGAGTTCCTACATGTATTAGGAAACATATAAAACTTTATAGTCTACATGGAGATGGCCTCCTCTGTCTAAGACAAGAGTCTCAATGTAAGCAGTGGAAGCAACGCCCACATATTTTGTATGAACTATGTTCTGACAATTGCATTTGTTTTGACACATTTTATGTTGTCTTCCACTCTGCAGGCTCCCTGGCATGCAGATGTGTAAGCAGTGCCAACAGGATACACAATCTGATAACTCTCTGCTCAAGAGTGATGAGGTAAGTGGGTAGTGTCCCTCCAAATGTTTACTCGTATTTTCAGGCATATTACTTTTGTGGGCTGCAGGGTTGCAACGATAGTAAACTCTGCTATGTTTGATGTTGTTTCGTGTGGGTTAGGTCAGGGTATGTGCATACAGTAGGCCTATGATGTGGAAAAGACAGACCATTAATTTCACATCTTAGAATAGTTACATCAGGACCATTAGGTATAATAGTAGATTAGAATGAGTGAATGAGCGAGTGAGTGAGTGTGTGTGTGTATGTGCGTGTGTGTATGTGTGTGTTTTTCTCTTTTTTTTTTGTACTTATGATATTCTGTGCTGGTGTTTGAATTTAGGCATTTCCAGACAGAGCTATCAAACGGGACATCGGAGAACTTCCTGCCAAGTGTCGGAATGCAGAAGCCTGTGAGTGGAAGGGAAATATACAGAAATATGATGTAAGTGATAGAAGTAAAGTCTTTTTGCTTCAAAGTAACAGTGATAAACTGGGCTTGAAGATTGAGAATGAATAAAACATTGCTAATATGTATGTTTTGTCTGTTTTGCACATGGATTATTGCACATGACCAGGTCTTGAAATACCCCTGCATATACAGGTTAGTGCATGTAGAATTTGATATCTGTAGCATCTGCACCTATCCTGCACCAGTTCATGTTGTATTTATTTGTGGACATATTTACTAGAGTACGTTAACTACTGCCTTGATACTTGTCAAACGTTACATTTGGAATTCTGCCTCTCATGAGTATTTTGAGTTATCATCAAAGGTCTGCATTTAAAAAAAGTGACTTTGTCCCATAGATATATTTGTATCACACTTGAGGCTCACTTGGAAATCTGCGAGTTTGGAATCATAATTGTATCATAATTCAGGCACATCAAGAGACCTGTGAGTTTGGCCTGATCCCATGTCCAAAGCAAGGCTGTGGCAAACAGGTGATGCGTATGGACCTTGCTGCACATCTGGAGAAGGAGTGTGCTGTCAGACAAATCAAGTGCAAGTACTGTGCTCAAGAAATACTGCTGAAGGAGGAAAGGGTACTTCTCATTTGACTAGACTGTACAGTATAACAAAAAAACACGATCCATATGACATAGCACAAGAGAACACACAGAGTTTCAACTCTCTATACATTCATGGCTTCACAGGTCCTCCTGACTAAATTTTGTCTGGTTTAACACCAGTTGTTCCCCAACTCCCAATTGCAAGGGTTAAGACGTTTCTTTTCTTATTTGTTATAGCTTCGCCATACCACGTAGTGGTATGGAGAACTATATTGTATTTACACATGTTTCTTCTCCTTCTCCTGCCATTTCTTTAAATGGATTCAACTTCTTCATTTTTGGGCCAAATAACCTGCAATTTGGTATGGAGGTTTAATGACCAAATACCCTCACCCGTATTTTTCATTTGTTTGATACCTGCTTTTAAAATGGTTTTATTGAGGTTTTTTCCATTGCTATTGTTAAAGAATGGGGCTTCAGTGTGTGTTACCATATTTGGTGTGGGTTACCATATTTGGTGTGGGGTTACCATATTTGGCAGCCACCTGGTTTTTGCAGGTGTGTCAATGATTGCAGTTGCTTTTGCTGATTGGCTGTGGAGTTAATAGAATTATCTGCAGCTGTGCCAGCTTTCTCTATGCAAGACTGCTCAATTGCGTTAAGACCAATTTTGCCCCTCTGACCTAATTAACTGATGTCTCAACTTCCATGTGTAATACATGCTTACTGAGAGGTTATCTTGTAAAACTTTCAATAACTCGTGAAACACAACATCCATAAGATTGAGTCTGACTACATGGGTATCATAGAAATCTCATCATTATTAAATTATAAACATAATTAGAACTACTTCATTTTACCACTTTTGGGCTCCGGGCGCAAGCCTGAGGTACCACTTATTGAGATAAATTTAGTATGTATGTATTTAGCAAAGAGCACTCCATAACATTCTGCTGGGCCCATGCTTACTGGTCTAACCATTACAAGAATATTCTTTAATATGTTCAAAATATTGACAAAAATGGCGCCTTTGTAATATTCATGGCTGCCTTAGAGAATACTGCAAAACATCACAACCACGGGCCCACCTGAATATTGTAGAGCAACTTGTCTACTTTCCAAACATGTATTTTGTGACTGCAAAGAATATTGCATATGGTTGCGCCTTTCGAACAAAAAAATAACACAAAATTTAGAGTTTTGGCTTCTCCAGAGATGAAATCTGATCGTTTTATTTAAATAAGAGGACAATACAGGTAATCATTTTGTTGACTTAGCCTCCTGACAACAGGATGCAAGACTACCTGGGGAGAACAATAAACAAGTTCACAGTTGTTCACACCTGGACCCAGCAGTGACATACGGGTGCCAGACAGCTCCAAATGGCTTGGCTTTTTTTTTTCAACAACAAACATGGCTATAAACTGAACACATGTTTATAGTCATTGGTACATACATGATTGGTACATACAGAGTTTGCAGTCATTTTCTAGGCCCTTGCAACTTGAATTCCATGGCACCACAACCCTATAACACCTTATAGTTAGAACTACACATTGTGAGTTTATGTTGATTAAACAGCATCAAAACATTTTTTCTTCTTTGTACTGATCAGAGATAATTGCATTATACCCCTAGTAGTTGAAGTGCTCAGCAAGTATGGAATCACCCCCCACCAGAAATGGACTCCATCAATTATGTGCAATTATAGCAGTCTGTGATGTTTATTCGTCAAATCATGCTAAAGTTCGGTAGATTTCAGCCATTTTCATGTGTATTTTGTGTCTTTGGACGGCGTATTTTGGTAAATTATCATGGACCGGTCATATTATAAACTTTTACTTCTGCTGTAACTAGAAATGCACACAATGTTATTATATCGCGCCAGGATGGTTTCTATTACTAGTATCTAGAACAGCTGGCATCTTTCATAACATTCTCTTCAGTATATGTGACCTTTCAGTTTTAGGTATCTGATACAACAACCAGGCAGTGTGAAATGTGACTCAGTATTTCACAAGTTGAGTTAAAAACATTTTCCTACAATTTAGGCAGCCAGGAGTATGTATTTCATGGCCTTTCATCTGACGTTTGCTGGCATACTGATTCCAACAGGGTACAAAATTCAGCAACCCTGAAAAGATATGTTCAGAGATATGCTTGGACATATCTTTAACTTACAGGGTGGCAGAATTACTGTACCCTGATGGCATTATGAGAGTAGACGTTAATACACATCCAGCATTTATTCCTAGACAACCAAATGCATAGAGGCCATTTACACTCCACAGGGTGCCAGGTGGCATCTCACCTGAGGTACCTGCCCCCCTCCTGGAAAGTTTTCGCGCTGGGCGGAGAGAGAGCAATTATGAAACAATAGAGGGAATATAGAAATCTAAGGGTCAAAGGCCGTTTCCATGCGTTGCTAGGGCAGCCAACGCCCATTTCCCTGCTGGCTGAGAATTGGTCTTAATCATATTGAGTGCTGATTGGCTATTGGGATAATTGGTTTATAGTATTGACTTAATAGGTATATGGATGAAAGACATTGTTTTTTCTCATGTTTTTATTTCTTTCCCTGTCATTTCGTTAAATGGATTCAACTTTCGGGGCCGAATGACTTGAATTTTTCCAATCTCCAAGCAGATACAGAGTGGCGTGGGTAGGTAATCTTTAAGCAGATACAGTTTGGCGTGAATCTTGTCAAAAGTGCAAAAATTTGTACTAATGACCGTCAGACGGGGTGATCCTTGAAACCACCAAACGGGGGTTTCAAGAATACTTTAATGAAAAAAAACTGTATGGGGGTTTTGGGCACTACATGGGGGGTTTGAAAACACCTTATACTAAAAAACACAACATGGGGGCTTTGTGAATACTTGTTACTGAATATCACTGTATGGGGTTTTCAAGAACATTTTACCGAAAAGCACTGTATGGGGTTTTGAGCACTACATGGGGGTTTTGAAAACACTTAATACAGAAAAACACAACGTGGGGGCTTTTTCAATACTTATTACTGAATATCACTGTATGGGGGTTTCGAGAACATTTTGCCGCAAAACACTATATGGGGGTTTTGAGCACTACATGGGGGTTTTGAAAACACCTAATACTGAAAAACACAGCATGGGGGCTTTGCGAATACAATGTAGCACTGTAT